GTCGCCAACGTGGCCCCGACCTAAACGCCAAAATCTATGGCGTCGGAGACGTGTAAGCTCGGCGTCACCAACAATAGCGCTGAGCTAAAGGTTTAGATTTTAAAATCATACCTTTAAACATATATTTGTGAAATTTTTTAGAAAATAAGGCTAAAAATTAAAAAATTCGGGCCCCGCGGCGCTTGCGCAGCATCTGGTTTGGTGGGTGCGGTTCGTTATCCCCCTCCTGATTTGCTAGTTGCGGCCTAGCTTTGCTCCGAGTCCACGGCGGGCTGTGAGTGGGCACGGCGATGCGAGGTACATGTCATCGTGCGCGCATGTGCCGGGAGAGAGGACGACGTGCCGGCTACCTTGAGTGAGAGTGCGTGGTACGAGTGGTAGTACTGCGTGGTACTAGCTGATAGCTAGGCGGGCGACCCAGAGCCGCGCGTTGCACGCCTGCGTCGTCGGATCGGCGCCGCCTAGGTAGCAGTAGGAGTACTAGCTGCTGCATGCCTGCCTGTACCGTGCGTGCGGGGGGCGAGGACACGGAGACGGGGACCTACATATTATATGTTCGTGTAGATCTACTCATATTCATATTCAGTCCAAAAAAAATTGAATTTTTTATTTTATAATTTTTCTATAATTTATTATGATTTTTTTAAAGATTTAGCTAAAATAAATAAAAAAGAAAAGGACAAAACTATCGTCACCGTAGCAAAACCACCGTCAAAAACCGCTTGAGGTGTTATTTGATCAGTTTTAAAAAATTTAGAAGTAAAAATCTGATTTTATAGCTTGGAGGTGAGGTATGCTGAATAATTTGGCGGTTACCTAAACTTTTTCCAGGAGACCGAGGGCGCCCGAGACCGCGACGTGGCGGGGCTCCACACTGACACCGTAGGCCGTGCGGGGATCTCTCGTAGTATCGTTTGGTGCCGTGCGGTTGCAGCGACGCATGCATGTGCCGCGCCAGTGCCCGCGTTGGAAGCAAGGGATATGCTGGCCGCTAGGTGCATGCATTTTTGGTTCGCACATTTGCGACAGAGGATTAGTGTGGGGTTGTATTTTTCACTCACCTCCTCAGACCGTGCCACGAGCCACCACCAAAAGCTAGCAGTCCCAACCCAAGTACCCGGCTGGGCATTTACGCCCTACATCGGGCCGCATCAGCACGCTGAGAGTGTAGTAACCACTGTTCGGTGTCCGTGAGTCCGTCCCTCTCCGTCACCGTCTCCCGGCCGGCCGGTGCCTCTACGGAGTACGGGAGTACTAGTACTAGACTACTAGTACCGCACTGCCGCCTGTTGTACACACGTCTAAGCCGGTGCGTAGTCGCGTACAGTACACCCCGTTCATTTTTGACGCGAAGCGTACGCACTGACCGGTGACTGCGTCGTAAATGCACGCACTGATCGAGAGTCTGAGAAGACCAGCCAGTCATCATTTTCCTGTTAGGATGGTACAACCTCCGTCTTAAAAAAAATATAACTATATATTACGTGCCACGAAAAATAACTAATATTTAACTAAATTTTTAATAAATAATATTCATATTTATAAATTTAAATTAATTTATTATAAAAAATACATCTCATAAATAATTTAATGGTATTTATTTAGTATCATAAATATGTATAATATTTTATTTATAATTATTCAAATTTAAAGTACTAAAACGTAACATTATATTAAAATAATATTTTTTTGGACGGAGGTAGTACCCAACTGCAAGTCTGCGACAGACGACAAACGGTGCGCAGGCGCAACATGCTGAGTCTGGGAGAGCCTCACACGAAACTACGCGCAGGGAGAAAGGCACGAGGCTCCATCATATCATGTATGCAAAAAAATCCCAAACGAAAAAGGGTCGCGACTCGCGAGCGAGATCGAGGGGGAGAGACGGCCGGCCGCGGCCCGGCGGTGAATTTGTTTGTGAGGCGCGACCGGCGGGCCGGAGCCGGTGTCCTGATAAGCATATGCGACGGTCGGTCCTTCTCCGACAGCTCAGGCCTTTTTCAAAGGCGATCGAATCGGTTCGTCACCACAACCCACAACATCCGTAGCGCTTTCAGTGCAGTTTACGTCGCCGCTCAAACAGTTTCAAGCTGTCGTCGTCCCTAGCTAAATAACCCAGTCCGATCCTCATCAGAGCGCAGGCGAAACACCAATCACTCGCGTCGATCACATGGCCCGTGGCAGGAGCAGGACACGACACGAGTGGTTTAGTACTTATATATAGTGGGTTATATATACTAAGAGCTCGGCAGGTCGAGCTTGCCGGCCGGGTTCGGTTGTCTCGATCGTCCGCGGCATGATGGCCGCGTTAGGTGCGATGGCCGGCCGCGGCCCGGCCCCCTCGCATCACAAACACAAAGCGGCCGGCCGGCCCTCACGTGTGGGACCGCCGGACCGGGACACGTACGCGTCCGTTCACGAGGCCGGCAGTTGCAAACGATGGCGATCCAGGCACCACCGATGACCAAACTGTACCGCCGCGCGACCGCGGGAGCCGGGCATCCATCGATCGATCAACCATCGGCAGCCAATCGATCGAGCAGGTGGCCAGCGTGCGTGCAGTGCATCTGGACCGGAGGCCAGGCTCGATCGGCACAGGGATTGGTCTGGGGCTGTGGGCGTCGTCCTTACCGTGCGGGGCGTGATTTGGATGGATCGCGGCCCGCCACTGGTCGTCCGGTGCTGCGAAAACTGCTGTTGGGACTTGGTCACTTGGGAGTGGGAGAACATGCTGTGCCTACTTGTTAGGAGGAGGGTTTGGTTCGTGGCTGCCTAAATGTGGAGCACCGCTCGTGAACGCTTTGCTATATCTGCAGGCATGGCAGATGCAGGGCGCTGAAGGCGTCGTCTTCACTCTGAAAATGGAGGGAGAGAGGACGGATCAGATCAAAGTGGATATGCTTAAGCTTTATTAGGTACTATAAAATTGTCGTGACATAGCTCCTACCATCGCAAACACAAGTCGCAATGAGGAGGATAGATGAAGCAACTCGACTTTATTCGATCATTGGGAAAGGTTTTGCTTATTTGGCTATGATGACTCGTGAGAGTTGAGAGCGATACATGCAACCTTGCTTGGCAGACGTCCAAACTGGTCTAGATTAGCTAGGTTTCACTCGCCTGTATAGCAGAAGAGCAACAGACCAATAAACAACGTAGTGGTCGTCGTGCTGGCCTGCTGGGATTTATCTCAAAAGGGCTAACTGATTAGTGTGTGTATTCTAGGTTTTCTGTTTTAGACAAATTTTCACAAGGCCGAAGGAAAAGCCAGAAACAGAAAATGACGATAAGGGAAAGGCTTTAGTTGTGCTTCTTTAATGGGCCAGCCTGCTACATTTTGAAGCCCATATACTTCAGAAATCACCGGATCTCAAAGCTCGCTTCACCTTATATATCGAGCTTTTCTTATCGGGCGTACGCGTCCAAATGACCGCGCAGCCCGCCTCAGTCCGCCATCGCCGCACCCTTGTTCGTATTTGCTCCGCCCTAGAAGCGCACTCCGCCCCCGTATCTGCTCCCGCTGGTCATCCCACACCTGCTCCTCTCTCTCCGCCCGGGCGGCACACGAGAGCTAGGACCCGGCGTGCCCTTGATCGGAGCACCCGTCTGCCCACCGCCAGCGCCCCCGCCTGCTGCCCCCCCCCCCCTGCTCGCCTCCGGCCGAACAACATAAAACACTTGCAACATGAAAAAAAATTAAAATGCAACATACATATGAAAACATATGAAACACTTGGAACATGCACTTGCAACATGTCTGTGGAACACATGAAACATCAAAAAATAACACTTGCAACTTGCAACATGAAACCACTTGCTGCAACATAAGACTGAAACATTTTGGAACATACTGTTGCAACACATGTGTGGAACATATGCAACATTCAAATCAAAAGCGATTGCAACATATTTCTAGAAACAGATGAAACATTTTAAACAAACGCTTGCAATATGCATCTGAAACACTTGCAACATATGCAACATGTGTAACATCACCGATCTACTTTTGCAACATTAAAAATAGAACACTTGCAACATACATCTAAAACGTCTGAAACATACATATGCAATATAGGGGAGGGAAAGGCCGGGGCCGGTCGATTCTAGCCAGCTGGGGTTGTAGCCGGCAGCGAGTGGAGGCGCACAAGCACCATTGCCACTAGCAGCGGGCTTGGCTCGGCCAGGCGGGCGCACTAGCACCAGCGGCGCGCACGCGCACCACCGCCTCCCGCGCCACCAGCACCGGTCTTGGCTCGGCCGGACGGGTGGCACGTGTGACAGGAGGCGGCGAGAAGCACTTGTGACGAGGGCGAGCGAGTGGCGGCGGATGGGGCGCACGACAGCAGCGAGGCAAAGTGGCATCCGCGTTCGGGACGGGACGGACGGAGTGGCCGTCGTAAGGCGATGTGGTGGAGAGGAGGGAGCGGAAGGGATAAGAAGGTTTTTTCTTTTTTTTTATAGAACGGTTAGGGGCGAGGGCGAGTGGATGAGCAGTGGTATTGGGCTGCGTCGCGGCCCACCATCGGCACCGTCCGGGCGGACGGACGTCCTAAACCCAGCATTATCATTTCTTACGACCTTCGGTGGCTCATCTCTCCATAATTTTACATAAAACTGCATTAGTAAGAACTACAGATGCACAACAAATTTGTTAAAGTAGAAGTGTGAAAAAAAGTGGTACGTAGGAATTATCGAGGTAGATCAGCAACTCTCCATACATGCATTTAGAAAAGAGTACAAGCGCAACAAACCAGTAATTTACATCGATCCCATTATATACCGTCTGCTACTAGGGTCTCCTTTTTTGAAACAAAACTAGGTCTCCTTAATTTTTAGACGAACTTCCATCGCATACTGCTAGGTACTACTACCAAGGCCAAGGGAAAGGCCGGAAACAGAAATGATGAAAAGCGAAGGTTTAGTCTCCTTTGATTTGATCGGCCGGCCTGCAGCACTTTGGAGCATCTACTTGACAAACCCCTGATCTTAAAAAGTTCACTTCATCTTATATACTGAGCATTTCTATCGCCTCGAGTCGCCTGTCTCTCCATACTTCTCCAGAAAGCCAGTAGATCATAAAACTGCATGCACATGATCAGTAAGAACTACAGATTGACAAATAATTTATTGCAGCAAAAGTGTTAAAAAGTGACAGTAACAGTTAAATAATGCTCACGGTTCTGCAGTAGCTGCTTGTGTCCACGAAGAAAAACCGACCCTGCTGCTCATCATCACCCCAAGAATCGCTGAGCTCTTCGTCAAAGGGACTGAAACTGAAAGAAGACCGGCCCTGTTCTTGCTCCCCATGCTCCTCTTCCGCAGAGGAAGCGCCGCCGCCGTCGCTGAAGCCGCCAGCAGGCGCCTCGGCGCGGTCGACCTCGACACAGTCCTGCTTCTTGCGTTCGCGCACGCCGCCTGTGGTCGCGCAGAGGAGGCAGATTGACGCAGCCATGCACGCGACGGGGAGGAGGATCACGACGGCCGCGGGGGAGAGGAGGAGGAGCGCGACGACCACGACGAGGAACACGCATAGGTTCAGTGCGTGCAAGGCCAGAGCAAACAACGACCTGGTGGTGCAGCTGGTGGTGCAGCTGATCTTCGCGGTGGAGGTGGTGAGGGCGTCCTCTGTTAGAAGAGAAGGCATGGTCAGCACTCAGCACTGTGTGTGATGCACTGATGCTTAGCTAGCTCTTTTTATATATCGCTCCCGTCAGGAACAACTTAAACAGGGATAACGAGAGAGGGAAGACATGAGAGATATGGGCACAACCAAACTCATTTATGATCGACGATCTGTCAAGAGTCTAGCCACGAACGGGCCGCAATTTCTCCGTGGAACGTGATCCTCGTTGCGAATGAAGGTGCTCTGCTCATTACGCGTGGAGCTTCCATGACGTGGGGCAATAGCTGTGTTACACGTGGAAGGGAACTGGACGAGCCCGGAGCTTAACTCGGCATTGACGGCTTGGCGTTGGCGGGTGGCAGCAGTCGGGGTCAGGTTTCAGATCGGGCTTTCTGGCGGTCACCGTTGCGAGTCGACTCACTGAAAAGCCCAGGAGGCCAACCTTTCGGCCCTTTACAGTCCAGTTGGAGATCTCGTAGTGACTAGCAACCACCACAAACCGAGAACGTGGCGACGTACACCAACCAAACAACTGGGAACCTTGCGAGTTGACAATCGAGAGAGAGAGAGAGAGAGAGAGAGAGAGGACTGGGAACGTTGCGTCGACGCAGTATACCGTTCCATCGACTCGGTCTGGCGCGGTGAAGCAGAAGGCAGCGGCGGCGCAGGGGGAGGCAAACAACGCTCCCGTGGATGCGCAAGATGGCGACTGCAACTTGCCTCCTGTGGCCATGGAGGAACGGGAATAGCAAGGGGTGACGGCGTGTGGTTGGGAGCGGTGCGGCAGGCGACCGTGTGGCTTGTCCCCACCCGGCGCCCGAGCGGGTCAGCGTGGTGCCCTTGACTGCGGCGCCTCATCCCAGGCGACAGCGGAAAGGCGATGTGGATCGCGTGCGCGGGCGACTCGACTCGGCGGGACAGCGGCGGCTGCAGGACGGAGCCAGCGCGCAGGAGCGGCAGCGGCACGCGGGACAGCGGCAGCGCGAGCACGCGCCATGATGGCCCCCGGGAGCGCGGTGGGGGGCGGCGTCGGCGCGTCGCGACGACCAGGGCACGAGGCCGAGCGCGGAAGCGAGCAGCAAGGCCGAGAGCCGGCGCAGCGGCGTCAGCAGCGTGGCGTGCAGGGCGATCAGCGACGCCCATGGCGCGATGACCGATTTTTAAAGCGAGAATTTCGCCTTTTTCCGATGTGAAAACCTAAGGGCGTGATTGGCTGCAGGCAGAGGCCATCCTGAGCCCCATCCAGCACCGATCGATGCACTTGGCCGCGTTTAGATGCCTGCCTCGCATTCTTTTCCTGCTCCGTTTCATTCATCTTCACCCCTCTATCTCGCATGGATCTGTCTTCTCAATTCCCATTTCTCTCGTGATGCAGGACGACGCGATTCACCCATGATACAGTGACCCATGTGTCATACAATCAAAACTCTCATCTATGCATGCAACCAAATAAGATCTCATCTCGTACTGGACCAACAACAAAAATAACCAAATATGACTAGGTGCACGGTTTGAGCATGCATCTCACCATCCTAGACCGGCTCTCCATCCCGGTTCCCCATCACCAAAGCAACCAATCACACCCTAGGCTTACCAAGATATTACTCCATACAAGCCACCTAGGGCTACCTTGTCTGTTAAGGCACTTCACGGCTTAGATCAACAGAGAGGGAAAAACATGGGTGCAAAACCGGGTTTGTCAGCAGGTGTCTCAGTTCAAGAACAGAGCCAAAAACAGCACAATTTAAGGAACTTTGAGCCAAGTTTTTGGGAGTTAAGAGTTCGTTAAATACATAACCATCTAAACCTACTTGTAGTTGATAGCTTACACACTAAATCAAAGCAAAGTTTAAATCTAAGTGCAAATTAAAATTAAGTGAACACGGGTAGTCAAAGCTGCAGTGTCAACACTAACCCAGACTTAGGAAAATTTAAGGCATGAGGCTGAATTGAAATTTTAGTTTCAAAATTTTAGACCCCAACTAATTAAACCACCAAACTACAATTCACTCAAATAGGCAAGGGTCCATAATCATCTATTAAAATAGTACTTTATTTTTGGTTTCATGAAGCAACCCAAGTTCTATGTAATTTTGCTTAATAAAAATCCTTTTTCAAAGCATGAATTATTAAGAGCATATTATTAATATCCATTTTCCTAAGGTTTCGATCAACACTTAAATGTGAACAATAAGCTTAAGCAACACTCCAACATGCAAAGGAGGATAATTATGATACTCATGACATGATTAAGCATTTTTAATGATGAAGGCCTTACGTAACACCGCGGGTGTTACAGTTTCTTCACGCTACAACTTTTTTTTATTGGTAACTTGGTTTTAGGAGGGCAATGTGCTCCAGTTTGATGGGGTTAATTTTATGAAAGAAGAAGCTCAAATATTGCTTAAAGATATGTCAATCATTTGTTAGTCGCATCGACCATTGTTTGTGGTTGTTGGTATTGTGCTATTAGTTGAATGGTTGGGAAAAGACAATTGTGCATATGTGTTGGAGGCTTTCGCATTTGTCGGTGCGAAAAGTGACCAACAAGTGAATATTTATAATTTTGCAGTACGTTGTGATCGGATGTGGCCTAGCACTCAATGACACAGGGTTTATACTGGTTCAGGCAACGTGCCCTAAGTCCAATTTGAGTCGGTCGGTGACTTTATTCCTGAGCCCAGGTGCTCGAAATTTACTGTGGGGTTACAAACGAGTGGGAATAAGATGGGGGGCGTTAGAGGTCCGATCGGACTCTGGACTGAAGGGCCGTTAGTGACGGGAGCTCCTACGTGCGCTAAGTATTGGAACGTATGCTCTGTGTCGCTTTAGAGTTCTAGAGTCGTGAAGCTGTTCGAGTGCTCAGAGTGTCTAAAGCTAGCAGAGAGAGAGTCGGAATGATAATTTTCTGTTGGAAGAGAGCGCATCCCCTTTTATAGATGAAGGGGACGGCCTTACAAGTTCTAGAGAGAGAGAGAGTGCCCTAGTCTAGTTGCCCACGCCGTCGGGTACAAGATAGTTTGTCGGCGCCCACTATACTATTGACAACTAGATACATGTGGCAGGCTCTATTGTGTTCTTCTAGTATGGCAAATATCGGTGCCTACCATACTGTAGGACAAATGTCGGCGCCTACAACACTGTTTGTATTCTGACATGTCTGGAAGGCTGCAAAGTACCCTTCTGGCATGGCCTGACAATATTGTCCTGCAAGTGTGCAGGGTATGGTCCTCGGTATTACGGTTGACTTGAGCGCCTTACCTTATCTGCTCCGCCTGATTTCTTGGGTCCCCATAGAGCGGGCTTCCCCGGCCGGTCGTTCCCAGTTGGCTTCGACCGCGCCGGTCGGAGAAGAGCCGTAAGCAAAGGTTCGGTGTATTCGGTCGGAGAAGCGGGTCGGAGTCGAAGCGAGCGTCGTCTCCTCCTTGGCCAGGCCTTCCGGTTCGAGAAGCGGGTCGGAGTCGGAAGCGAGCGGTGTCCCCTCCTTGGCCAGGCCTTCTGGTCGGACAAGCGGGTCGGAGTCGGAAGTGAGCGTCGTCCCCTCTTTGGCTAGGCCTTCCGATTGGAGACTGGATCGCTCTTTCGGTCTATCGTTTGGTATCTGGGCCGGGCCAGGAGTTGCGCGTCGTTCGTAATGCCGTCTACCGGACCGAGCTTTTGCTGGGAAGCAGGCCCATTAGGGACCCCGGGTTTATGAACCCGATAGGAGCCCCCGGACGATTCGGGCAGAATCGTCTGGGGGATTTTTTATTTTGCCGGTGGGTGTAGCCCCCGAGCCCTCGGGTGATTTGGGTAGAATCGTCTGGGGGATTTTTTGACTTGCCAGCGGGTGCACGCGAGCGCACCTGGTGGGTGTAGTCCCCGAGCCTGCGTCCGACTGGTGAGTCGGTTGGAGGCTGGGTATCTTTGTACTCTTTCCTAGGGGCTGCAGACTCCTGTGTTTCTGCCGTTCGGGGCGTTCGCCCGTGTTTGTCTCGCCCGCGACCTGCGTGGTCGGTTGATTTCCGAGTCGGCGTCGGGCGACCTGAGCCCCTGAGCCCCGTTGGGTTCGGTAGGGGTTGGTCTAGTTCCGTGCGTTACCCCGTTCGTGGTTTTCACAATCGGAGGGGCTGAGCTAACGTCGCTTGCCTCGATGGCTTGAGTGAAGCGCTCGGTGAGCTCACTAATGGGCGTGTTTGAGCGGAATATGGGTCCATCGTTCATAACGGGGTCGGCATAGCCCTCATGTGGCATTCCACTGCTCCTTAATCCGCCTTCCGGTAGATGCTCGGGTTGTTCCGAAGACCGACTCAGGTGGCCCGCTGGCCTTCCCTCGATGAAGATTCGGTGGGCATGGCTCGAGGTTAGGATCGAACGAGAAGGTTGAGATGACCCTGTCTACTTCTGAGCATACCGGGCGAGGGCCGCTGGGGCTCATCTACGTTTTCTCACTGGCTCTATTGGACACGGGCCGGCCTTGAACCCCTGGTCGGTCGTTGCTCATGTTGAATGGGGCAACTACCGCTTCGTGAGGCAACACGAAGCGTTGTGATTCAATAATTGCATATGCGATGCTTTAGATGTATGGGATGAATGAATGATTGTATGAATGAATGTGTGAATGCGTGTATGAGAAAGGATGAATGAATGATCATGCATCAAAAAATAAAGTAAGAAGGTTTGGTAAAGTTACCTTGATGACTCGAGTGACGAGTTTGAGGAGCTCTTATCGGATATGTCCGAATGAGATCCGTGTCCGTTATTCATGACGTGTCGGCATAGCCTGCATGGGGCATCCTACTACCCCTTACCTGCTATCTCTCGGTAGTCTTCTGAGCCGACCGATCGACTTAGATAGCCCGTTGGTCTCTCCTCGATGGAGATCCTATCGGTGGGCCCTTCCAAACCCTGCCTGGGAAGGCAGAGGGTCGTTTGCATGCGATTGTGCCTTGTTTCTTGCGCCTGGGTTGTGGTAGTGGTGGGCCCAACCCATGCCACATCTGGCTTTAACCGGGTGACGTTTCGTTGGGCAGGGTGCATCC